GTTTCTCCCCACTGTTGTTTTATACACTTAAAGGCAACATTGTTAGATGCATAAATGTTCACAATCATTGTATTTTCTTGATCTACCGTTCTTTTTATCAGTATGTAACATTGCTCTCTGTGTTTATAACTTCTTTGCTCAGTCAGTTAAGCGTATGACTCTTGATTTCAGCTCAGGTCACAATCTCAGGGCCATGAGATCAAGCCCCACGTGGGGCTCCACACTCAGCATGGAGTCTGCTTGTCCCTCCTCCTCTGTTCCACACCTCCCCACCTGCTCACACTCGCTCTCTAAAAAAAAAAAAAAAAAAAAGATAATTTAATTAGTGGCGCCTGGGTGGCTCAGTCAGCTAAGTGTTCCACTCTTGATCTCAGTTCAGGTCTTGCTCTCTGGGTCATGAGTTCAAGCCCCTCCTTGTACTCCACACTGGGCGTGGAGTCTACTTTTAAATAAATAAATAAATAATTTAACTAATGTTAAAATAAATCAGACTGGGAAGACATATTTTCTTGACATACCTTTTATTTTTAAAAATTTTTTTCTATTTTATTTTTAATTCTGCTATTTTTTGTCTTACGCTTAACTCTTATTGACAATATATTCTGTATCTTGTTTTTTAATCCAATTGAGGTTTGTCTTTTAATCTAAGTTTAACTTATTTGCATATATTGCCTTTCCCATTATTCATACCATTTGGCCAACATTTTTCATAATGTCTACCTCTTATTTTTCCCCACCCCCTCCGCTATTTTTTTCTATTCTCCACTAGATAAATTGAGTTTTATACTTAAGATTTGAAACTTATACATTGTTTTATTCCCCTAGCATATTAACAGCCACACTTACACTTATATTTTCCTGTCATCTTCTTAAGCTTATCATCATCTGCATCTCCTCAAATAAGACACTGCCCCATCCACCACTATGAACAGTGCCAACTCACCATTTAGAGCTGGGCGAGTGGTGGTGGTGGGCAGGAAGCCCCCAAATCTGAGAGCCTCTAGTGTAATAATATATATCTCTACTCTGCCAACACTCTTTTTCTGAGGTGATCTACTCAGGTATAAGTAATGTGGAGGAGAAGGGGGCACTCAGAAGCTAATCAGGCTACCTTCACAAGCTGGCTTGAATACCATACCAATGTTACACTACAGCACCTGCCCCCACCACTACCCCATGACTCGTAACAGGCTGAGCACTGCTCAGAGTGGTGATGGAGCAATGATGCACTAGAACAATAAGAGAGAAACAGTCACTGAAAAATAACCCAAACCACCTCATGACGCCAAATCCTCTTTTATTCTGAGCAGTTGTTTCATATATACACATATATTCAGATTCCTCACAGGGAAGCATTATAGCATTATGACCAAGAACATAAGTTTTGGAGTTTCAACTGATCAAATTCTGAATCCCAGGTAATCACTCAACAACTCATGTAACCTCAATCTCTCCAAGCTTCAGTGTGCCCATCTTTGAAATGTTATGACAATTCTTATTTCTTAGAAGATTACTGCAAGGATTAACTGAGAAAACGAAAGAAAGTACACATCCTTGCATGACACACAGAAAGCATCCAATATCAGGTATTATCGATTATGTTTTATGAATTATGGAAAGACTAGATCTCTAAAATGCACTTCAGTCCTAAGGATGTATTATTAACTCTAAGTGTGCTGAGGAAGTCAAAACTCCAGCTTGAAGAGCACAGCATACTGGGGCATTGGGTTGGGAATGCAAGCAAAAGGTGCGTGCTCTCGTGCACCTACATCCAAGCTCCAGGGCCTAAACATCCGAGATCCATGGCAGTTCTTTACTTTGTGCTGGATCAGCTATGAAAGAAGAACCACTTCCTACAAACTGTTCGTAAGATATAGATGGGAGTATTCACCTATAACAAAACAGAATTCTAAAATTCAATGTCCTGGAGAAGAAAAAATTGTACTACTTTGAGGCAGTAAGGTGTCCATTATTTTAATTTATTGACAAAATCAGCTCTGCACATTGAGAATTCAAACAGAAAATAAATTCATTGGTAGGTCCACACTATGTCATCAAGACTCAGAAACAAGAGAATGGGCATAAAATAGAAAATTTCCTGAAAATATTATAACCAATATTCAAAGTTCTGGGGTACTAGTGAGATTGGCCCTAAGTGCCAACCAAAAGTCATATGCTAATTAAAACTTCACATAATTCCCCACAATGAAAGCAAAAAAAAAAAACCCAATACTTATCTTGCCTAATCCATACTATTAATCTGAGGATCACATAAAACAACAGAGATCAAATAAAAAAAAGTGCTTATAAACTGTAAGGTAAGTAAAAAAATTTGAAACCCATTGATATTTAATATTTCCCTCTAAATTCAGATAAGAGCTACATAATTAAACATCCGTTCTAACCACAACAACCTTAGGAAGTTGGTACTTACAAATGAAGAAATGAAGGATTAAAGAGGTAAAGTAATTCATCGAAGGTCACATAACTAATAAATATAGATAGCTGCATTTAGGTCTGATTCCAAAGCCCATGCTTTTAACCACTATGGTACTAAATCCAGACCACCTCTGTGAAGAACAGATTAAAAGAGATGTTCATAAAATAGGAGCAATTCCAGAAATACTATATATTGTACACTGCCCAACACAAAAGGGCCTCATTCCCTCGACCACGAACAAGAAGAAAATCAGGTCTTTTCCCATATCCCATTTTTCCTTAAAGGATTTTTAAAAACTCCTTGATCCATGTTCTTTTTCATACATGCTTAATTTAGTGATGTGAGAGTTAGATCAAAGTCTAGGAGAGCTGGAGAGATGAGGACAATATCAGTTAAGAGCAAATTATAAAAATATGTGAGAATTTTCATAGAGCTGGTTCAAACTGCCTTTTATTGGGCTCTAACATGAGAAAGATGTTTTGGAAAAAGTGACCCCAGTCAAATGTCACCAGAGTAATTTGAGGGAAAAAAGCACATACTAATAAATCACCATATCACATTCATATAATTATCCTATACTCAAAAGATTGTTGGCTTTTACACTGTTATCTTTTTAGGATGAGATGGTCATATTTGAGCAGTTGTCCTAGTGACTTATAGGGGTAATCACTGAAACTCAGTTACTCCCACATGGCTAAAAACAAATAAGAACCATTCAAGAATGACCACAAATATAGTCTTTACTCTCTATAGTACAAGAAATCAATCACAAGCCCATCTGTGTGAGACCTAGCGAATAAGAACACTATTTGAGAGGGGTACAAAGAAAAGGATGGATTGCCAAGAGGAAAAAAGTCATTTATTAGACTGTGACAAGCTTTTAAATGTTAGCATTATCATTAACCAACTGCCTGATTCTCTGATTCACACACCTGCCACCTCTAGCCAATGCTATCAGTCCTAAACTTGGAAGTAGGCTCACCTCCAAAACACTGGCACCCTCTTCTGACCCTTCTGTAGTACTGCATGCACACCAGTTACCGGGATGAAAAACTCTAATAAAGGCGTAAGTTAGTAACTTTGCAGGTAACATTTTCCAGATAATTTTATATTTGCAATTCCCTGGATGAACACAAAACTAGCTGAATAAAAATATGAGAGAGCAGATCTTCTAAATAAAATGTATGCCAATGAAAAGAAAACCAACTGTGTTCTCTTAATACTTTCAGTTTATATATATCAGTTGATTTTAATACAATAGCTACAATGATGACAATAACAAAAGCTTTACTGTGTACAATAAGCCAGTTTAATCCTAACAACAACCCAATGAGGCAGACACTCCTATTCTCTTCATCTTACAGATGGAGGGAAAGTGAGGCACAGTGAAGTTAAATAACATGCCCAGGATCACATAACCTGGTAGTAAGTGGGTAAAGCTGAATTTCAAACTCAGTAACTATGACCCCAGAGCCAAAACCTAATTTTTATCTAAAATATCCCTGTGAGGTAGAATGAGATTGATATCCTGATAACAGACTGACAGATATTCTAAGTCTGAGTTGTAAGGAAAATTACAAATACATCATCCAAATCTCTCATTTTCAACAAAGTTCCACTGTACAAAAATAAAATACTACATGAAAGAGTTTTGGTCATTTCCCCATTCCTCCTCACTTGGAGATTCTCATCTTCTGGGTCTATAATGTTTTTATGCATTCTTTTTACTTCTCATTTCTCTTTTCCATCCAAGTATGCCCTTATTTACCTATCTGGTTCTTTAAAAGAAGAAGATTAAAAAAAAAAAAAAAAATCCATGTTGTATGCTTTATTTTTTCTTCTATAAAGCAGAACTGTTTACCTATTTCTACCTAAGTTCCCTATTTCACTAGACCTTTAAAAAAAAATTTAAGACAATAAATCCAAATAGCATCATCAATTCCTTCTCTTTGATGATTACAAATATGATAAATTCTCAACTGTACGGAATTATTTAGGGTATTCCTACCTATAATCAGGGCTGACAGGCTATTTCTGAAAATACTAACTTCATTTTCAAACAGGATATGAAGGCACACTGTCTCATGATCTGCAGTTCAAAACAAGATCTACTTAGAACATTTCTAGATTCTGCAGTTTGCCTACATAAAGCTAGACATAATATCAAAAATTAACAACACTTAATAATCTAAACACAAGGTAACCAAGCTCACTGCCATTCATGACCAGAAGATTCATCATGGGTGAGAACAAAAGATTCATTTGGATTTCTTTTTTATAACTATCTTTACAACATTTCACAATGTCAAAGTATACTTAGAAGTACAAACTTAGGGAACGTTCAAAGAATTAAAAGCATACATAAACTGCACCAGATTTGTTAGATCTAAGAACTGAACCAAGGCAGTTATAGTTTTAGTAAAGTATGATCACACTGCTAAAGAATTATTCATTACATTATTCATATCTCCCGAATCCAAGTGTAACCAAAACAGCACAGGCGATACACGTGAAAAGGTGCAAGGAAGTGACTCCCTGCCAATACCAGAATTCTTCTCACCTCGGTCTGCAGGATGGCAGCCCGTTGTTCTTTAGCAGTCAAGGACTCCTTCAGCACTTCAATGTGTTGCTTACTATCCGAGAACTGGTTTGTGAGTGTTTCTAGCTTTGTCTGTAGGGCTAGTAGTTCTGTGTCCTTTCTGGACAGCTCCTGCTTCACCTGACCAATCTAGAGAAGAAAATAAAACACTGTAAGGAAAAAAGAAATGAAACAACCACCTCTGATCTGGATCTTTGACAGATCCAAGCCACAAAATATGAAACTAAATATAGCATTAGTTTTATGACAAAACATAATTCATCTTATTACATCATCGTATCTTGGATGACCACCCATCGCCCCCCCCCAAAAAAGTTTTTCAACAAATAGGGAAATTCCAGGTTTCATGTACTGTGCCTCCTAAACACTCTTCAAAATCCCTTAGAAAAAGAACAGAGGGAGAAAAATCCCAATTCAATTAGATTACTATGAGATAACAGGAAGCATCTGAATACCACTGTGCTGATCAGTTTTCATTTTATTAAGTCAGACCTCTTAAAACATAAAGCAGGATTAGTGTAGATGTAAAACAGAAGGGAAAAAGAAAACCTCCTAGCATTGCTAAAGTTAAATTCAAAAGCTGCAGCTGGTATACTGTTTATTTTTTCATTCACAAACAAAAGTTTACATAAAATCCTTATCTTAAAAAGCCACCTTTTGTGTTATGAGGCATTATAAACCTGTGCCTCTTAGAAATCATATAATTTTGATGAGTTAGGGATATTGACCTTAAAAAAGATTCCACCTACAAAGTTATATCATCTACAACATCAATACCAACTATATGGATAAAAAAGTATATGACTTAAATGCATAAAGGCTCATTCTGTAAGAATCGACATGTGTAATTTGAATCTGAATTACTGACAGAGTAATCCATAAGTCAAGAGGTGCCATTCATTCTGCCATAAATTTCTATCATCTTAACTTAAAAAAATTTTTATTTTAAACATCTCATTTACATTTCTACTGTGTTTCTAAGAATTTTCTAAATAGTCTCTTATTCTAAATGTGCACCAAATAAAAATCAGATTTGCTTTTACATTCTATTCTGTATCCTGCCTAGCAAGGAAGCTGTGCACTAACAGACAGATTAATTATTGGAAGTATAAATCTGACTGACAAGTCAGTAATTTCAGTATTACTGATGAAAGTTCTTCGTATTCTTTTCATTGAATGTACCTATAGTATTTTTACTATAATAATCTTAGGTATAAGGGTCAATTTTAAGAACAATTTCCCATGAGGAAGTATGAAATAAATATTACTTTAATTAAAATTAGACTTTTAAGGAGTGCTAAAAATAAATGTCTAATTTACTCTTCTTGTTTAGCAAGAAGACAAGCATTTTCCTCATATGCATGAAAATTCTATTCGTCGATTTAGTTATTCATTCATTCCACAAATATTTCTATATGCATACTGTATGCAAACTACTTGAGGATACTTAGAACATCAACAGAAGATGACTGTAAACGGCAGCTATCTTCATCCTGTAATATAAATATATACCCTGGAGTTACCACATACTGTAATGCTGTGGCATCTTTCATGATATCCCTTTTCCAACAAAAAGTACATATTTATATTATTCCATCCTTAACATACAGTTTGCTCTAAAAACTGTTGTATGAATGAATATTCAGGAGAAATGTTTAAAATGTTATCACTTCCTCAACTAAAGAACTACTACGGTTTAAAGATTACCTCCAATCACATGGTTAAAAATAAGTATAAAATCCCTGTTTCCTCATCATCTACTTTATTAAAGAATCATCAAATACTAGTATATTGACCATAAAGACTGAGAAAGGGACAAAAATATTCTAAATGGAAAGCAGAGTTTAGAAGCACACATTTTCCATAAAAGTTAGGAGCATGAGGCTTTGCAGTCACTCACACCTGAGGATAAGTGTGTCTTTGAGTATTTACCTCTCTAAGCCTTGGTTTCCTAATCAGTAAAATGGAGAAAGTAAACTGACGCTACTGTACTGTTTGGAGATTAAATAAAATAATGTATGGAATGTGTTCAGCCTGTTGTCTGACACAACAAAGAAATATTTATAATAGCTAAGAAAAAAAAAGTAAAGTGATACATCAACTACGCCTCTAGAAAATACAGTTACCATAAACCAAATCAGTCCCTTTTAGACAAAATATTTCACTTTACTATCTGTACTATAAAGGGGTCCATAAATAGTAAAAACATCAAATTAGCACAAGTTTTTTTTTTTTTTAACACTGCGTTCCTGTCTTATCCCACAATTATTTTCAGAAGCAGTTTTTTCCTGACACTGGTGTGACATACGCGCACATGGCGTAGTACAGGGCAGAAGACGGAAGAGCTCACCAGCGCAGGTTCTGGAACAGATTGCTTGTGTAAAAATCAAGCTCTACCTCTCACCAGATATACCACCTGAGCACCACATGGCTACCTCAGTTTCCACATCTATAAATTGGGGCTGGGTGATATACCAACCTAAGCAGGTTATAAGTGCTTGAGTGTTAGCTATTTTATTATTTTTGTATTATATCTTGAAATGGAATTTTAAGTTCTTTAGACAGAAGATTAAACTAGATCTAGAGACTTTATGTTTCAGGCTAATTCTAATTTACTAGATAACTCTAAATAAGCAAATCACTTTCTATACATCTGTTCTAAAAAAAGTAACATTTGTTGGAAAATCACCTAATGGACACTTAAAGATAATACATACGAAGTTAAAGCTCTTTACTCAAGAATTTCAAATTCTAAGACAGTCCATCTTAAAAGTTCTCATCAAAAGAAGAAAAAAAATTTTGTGACTATGGTGATGGACGTTAACTAGACTTACTGTGAAGATCATTTTAATATATATATATCTCAAATCATTATGTTGCAAATCTGAAACTAATATAAAGTTATAAATCAATTATACCTTACTTTAAAAAGAAAAAGAATTTCAAATTCAAGTAATCACTAGAATAGAGAACATCTGCATATCCTTGTATCAAAGAAGAAACAGAGATTACCATTCATATAAATCAACAAGTATCTACAAAAGGAAGGGAAAAAAACACACTTTGAAGTACCATCCATACAGTGACAAAAGCAACAATAAAGAACCAGAACAAGTGAGGGCTCACTGCACACAAAGTGACATATGGGAAACTGGTGAACAGGAGTCAGTTAAAGAGCAGAGCAGGCTGGTTAGTGCCAGTGTTGGGCAAAGCTGCCAACCGGAAAACGAAAGTATAAGCCACCCAGAAGCCAGAGCTAGCAGGGTCCCACTGTGGGATCGCTGAACACAAAGAGTAAATCTTACGGCAAAGACCTCAGCCTGAAGACCAGCCGCTCTCTTTTTCAGCTCCTCCCCTTGAGCCTCTTTCGAACTTAGTTCCTCCTTCAGTTGCTCTACCTGTCACGACATTGTTATTCTTTTTCACTTATGTGTCAATTTAGGTCTTACTATTTGCTTTTCAGCCAGAGCAGTAACTGGAAATAACAATAACCTATATAACACAATCAAATCTGTTCCCCTAATTCCTTCTGCAAAGCACCCTAGATAGTTTCTCTATTTTCACAGGGGTTTCTTAATGGACTTAAATGTGCCAATCAACAAATGGAAAGCAGAGATTGTATTATAGTGTATTTTCTCAAATTAGGGTGAAAAATACAAACTAATAGAAACTTGAATATATGAATTTTTAAGTTCTAAAACTGACATAAATTTTCAGTAGTCACTGATAACAGATTCTTAAAATAATAAAGGAATATTCTACTGACTTTTACGCCAGGTATGAGTCCATAGCAAGAAGACAGAAACTGGAGAGGGAGTTAGAATAATTGTGTATCATTCCTCTACAGTTCTCTGTTCTGAGAAACTGGGAAACTAATACAATTGGGATACGAGGGGTACTTATTTTCTAGCTAATATTTTATAATCACAATCATGATTTTTAATTAAACCAAAACAAACTTGGCAAATTGATAACTATAATAAACTAGATCCTCCAATGTGCCTAAATAGTTTATAGAATCAAACTAGATGGCTGTGGACCTAAGGAAAAAATATTGTGACTGAGTTTCTAAATACGGACTGACATGCCATGCTGATATGTATCTTGAATTGCACACAGGTAACAATAAACCTGATACAAATGCATTTTCTCCAAGGGATAGAGCAAAGGGGTTTTCTTTATGGAACTGTATTTGAAGGGAAAATAGAATATTATTTAAGCCATTTCAGAAAAAAAAAAAAGTGGGGGAACTGGGTTCCTCTTAGGGTTTTGACTTTTAAAATACTACAGAAGAGTTAAAGAACTTGGTGTCTCATGTAGTGAGAAAAACTCAATTTGGATATAATTCTACTAAATCACCTCAGAAGCACTGATAGATATAAATCTTAAACTGTGACAACACATATCAGCCTTTCTTTTAAAAGTGAAAACTTGAAATAACAATACATCAGTAATTCTGACTTTAGTTCTGGGAAAGTTGCATTTGAAAGAATTCTAAGTATCCTTCCTGAAGTCTGATAAAACAATGTGAAGTTCTTCATCATCACTAAGGAAATAGAAATATGCATCAATTTCTCAAAACTCTTTTAAAAATTACAGTATCACAAACCATTACCTTATTTTTCATAAATTTAGAATGGCTCCGATAGACCTCCATTTGTTTCATTTCTTCTTCCCGTTCTTCAGTACTCAAGGCCCCATTTGATTTCAGCATCTGAATTTCCTCTTCCAAGTCTCGGAGCCCACGCTCCATAGAGGATATTTTTGAATCCTGAAGATAATGGAAGATATAGACATTAAAGTATTCACAAAGAATCAGAGAAGTTGAAAAACTCAGTCTTTACAGATGGTGAATTTAATAAAGATAAACAAATACGCAGGAAAACTGCTGTCTAGCATTTGGTGCCTTGCTCCTAAATTATATCCTTTATGGCCACTTGGGTGAAAGGAGGACAGTTCTTATCTAGAATATGATTTTTCCTCTGTCTCTTCCTCAAGTCCGCACCCTCTCATTTAAAGTTGAGAGAATTACTTTAAAAAAAAGTAGAAGAGGGGCGCCTGGGTGGCGCAGTCGTTAAGCGCCTGCCTTCGGCTCAGGTTATGATCCCAGGGTCCTGGGATTGAGCCCCGCATCAGGCTCCCCGCTCCGTGGGAGGCCTGCTTCTCTCTTTCCCACTCTGCCAGCTTGTGTTCCCTCTCTCGCTGTGTCTCTGTCAAATAAATAAAATCTTAAAAAAAAAAAAAAAAGTAGAAGCAATGGAAAGCTAGTTAAAGTTTCTTTGTACTTCATGGTCAAACAAATTTCTAGGGAAAAATTTTGTAATATTAACAGAGAAACCGTTCCTAGTTACTCTATCATTCTACTGTGATCCCTAAAAGTTTATTTCTGCTCCCAAAGGAGGGAGAAGAAGAGTAAAAGTGTTTCAAAGACTTATGCAATAATGTGTATAACTATATTTGCAATAATAAAGATTTTATAGCATCCCATTGTAAAAATAACAAAGGGATGAATAATTATGCTAACAATTACAGTTTATCATATTACTTATTTTCTAGTTCTCTACACATTTTAAGTATTTTGTAATAATTTTTTTTAAAAATCACTGTCCTTATAAATCATCATCTCCACAAATATCACCTCCCAGCAGAACATTGTTCTATGTTCAATTTCTTGGTTTTGCTTGTCACAGTATCTAATTTATCCCCTAGTTAAGATGTTATCAATTGCAGAAAGATCACTTTAGATGTCAGTTACAGAAAAATTCCTACATAAAATGAAGATTTTATATCTAAAGTTGTATATGTTTATTCACCTAAGAAATAAAGAAGTAGAAGCATAAATTAAGTATAGTTTTATTTTATTTGGAACATCAGAGAAACCAGTCCTTTAGAAAGTAATTTTGAAATTACTTCCCTTTGCACTTTATCTCAAAGATTTCTTGACTGACATTCCTTGCTATCATAATTCTTAGAGCATGAAGATAAAAGTTAAAGGATTTATCATGAGACAAATACCACTAGCAATTTTTAGGTTCAGGGGAGAGAAGGGGGATGTACTCCTTGTCCTGCATTGTGTTACCTTTAAAAATATCACAACAAAAATTTTCTTTTACAAATCTACTCAAACCTATATTTAGTTCAAAATTAAATGCACTGAAGTAATGCAGTCAAGAGATACACTAAACATAAATTCTGAAATCGGTGGGTGCATCCCATTTCTACCACAGCCTAAAAAAAAAAATAGTGGGCCACAATTAATCTCCTGGCCCATAAAAAATAAATACAAGCATAACCTGAAAGTATTGTGGGCTCAGCTGCAGACCACTGCAGTTAAGTAAATATCACAATAAAGCAAGTCAAATAAATTTTTTGGTTTCCCACTGCATATAAAAGTTATGTTTATATGGTCTATTAAGTATATAATAACATTATGGAAAAAATGTACATACCTTAATTTAAAAATAACTTATTGCTAAAAAATACTATCATCTGAGCTTTCAGCGAATCATAATCTTTTTGCTGGTGGAGGGACTTGCCTACATGTTGATAGGTACTGACTGGTCAAGGTGGTGGCTGCTGAATTTGGAGTGACTGTGGCAATTTCTTTTTTTTTTTTTTTTTTAATATTTTATTTATTTCTTTGACAGAGAGAGACATAGCGAGAGAGGGAACACAGCAGGGGGGAGTTGGAGAGGGAGAAGCAGGCCCCCCGCCTGAGCACGGAGCCTGATGCGGGGCTTGATCCCAGGACCCCAGGACCACGACCTGAGCCGAAGGCAGACGCCTAACAACTGAGCCACCCAGGCGCCCTGACTGTGGCAATTTCTTAAAATAAGGCAACAAAGAGGTTTGCTGCATCGATTAACTTTTCCTTTCATGAACAATTTCTCTAGAGCCTGTGATACTGTCTGACAGCATTTTACCCACAGAACTTCTTTCAAAACTGGAGTCAATCCTCTCAAACCCTGCTGCTGCTTCATCAACTAAGATTACGTAATATTCTAAATCCTTGGTTGTCATTTCAACAACTTTCACGGCATCTTCACCAGGAGTAGATTCCATCTTAAGAAACCACTTTTTTTGCTCATCCATAAGAAACAACTCCTCATCTGTTCAAGTTTTAGCATATGATTCAAGAAATTCAGTCACACCTTCAGGCTCCACTTCTAATTCTAGTTTTCTTGCTATTTCTGCCACATCTGCAGCTCTTCCCCTACTGAAGTCCTGAACCCCTCAAAGTCATCCAGGAGGGTTGGAGTCAACTTCTTCCAAACTCCTATACAGGTTGGTATTTTTACCTCTTCCCATGAATCGCAAATGTTCTTACTGGCATCTGGAATGGTGAATCCTTTCCAGAAGGTTTTTTATTTACTTGGGTCCAGATCCTTTAGGAGAATCACTATCTATGGCAGCTATAGCCTTATGAATGCATTTCTTAAATAATAAGACCTGGAAATCAAAATGACTCCCTGATCCATGGGTTGCAGAATGAATGTTTTGTTAGTAGGCATGAAAACAACAAAAATCTCTTTGTCCATCTCCATTAGAGCTCTTCAGTGAGCAGGTGCATTGTCAATGAACAGCCATATTTTGAAAAGAACCTCTTTTTCTCTGTAGTAGGTCCCAACAGTGGGCTTAAAATATTCAGTAATGTTGTGAACAGATGCGCTGTCATCTAGGCTTTGTTTATAGGGCACAGGCAGAGCAGACTCAGCATAATTCTTAAGGCCCCAGGATTTCTGGAATGGTAAATGAGCACTGGCTTCAACTTAAAGTCACCAGCCACATCAGCCTCTAATAAGAAGCTCTGAAGCCAGGTACTGACTTCTCTAGCTATGAAAGTCCTAGATGGCATCTTCTTCCAATAGAAAACTGTTTCATCTACATTGAAAATCTGTTCTTTAGTGGCGCCACCTTCATCAGTGATCTTACTAGGTCTTCTGGGGAACTTGCTGCAGCTTCTCCCTCCGTACCTGCTGTTTTACCTTGCACTTTTATGTCATAGAGATGGCTTTTCTTTAAACCTCATGAACAAATCTCTGCTGGCTTCAAACTCTTCTTCTGCAGTTTCCTCGCCTCTTTCAGCCGTCACAGAATTGAGACTTAGAGCCTTGCTCTGGATTAGGCTTTGGCTTAAGGGAACATTGTGGCTAGTTTGATCTTCTATCCAGACCACTGTAACTTTCTTCATATGAGCAATAAGGCTGTTTCACTCTTATTCATGTGTTCACTAGAGTAGCCACTTTTAATTTCCTTCAAGAACTCTTCCTTTGCATTTATAATTCAGCTGTTTGGTGTAAGAGGCCTGGCTTTGAGCCTGTCTCAGCTTTGGACCTGTCTTCCTCACTGAGCTTAATCATTTCTAGCTTTTGAGTTAAAGTGAGAGACATGTGACTCTTTTCACTTAAACATGTAGAGACCACTGTAGGGTTATTAATTGGCTTAATTTCAATATTGTTGTGTCTCAGGGAATAGGGAGACCTGAGGAAAGGAAGAGTTACAGGGGAATGGCAGGTCAGTGAAGCAGCCAGAACACACGTATTTATCAAGTTTGCCATCTTAAATAGGCACAAGTTTGTGGCGTCCCAAAAACAATTATGAGAGTAACATCAAAGATCACTGATCACAGATCACCATAACAAATATAATAATGATGAAAAAGTTTGAAATATTGGGAGAATTTCTAACATGTGACACAGAGACATGAAGTGAACAAATGCTGTTGGAAAAATAGCACCAAAAGACCTGCTTGATGCAAGGTTGCCACAAACCTTCAATTTGTAAAAAATACAGTATCTGCAAAACACAATAAAGCGAGGCACAATAAACCAAGGTATGCCTGTAAACTATTTTCATTGTACTATCTGAAAATTCACCTTTAAGATTACTATACATCTTCCTGGAAAAATCAGGATGTAGTCCCTTAAGAATAACTAAAATACTAAGCATATGCATGGGACTAACCTGCAAATGAAAGGTGGTTGACCTCTGACATTAGGGGGGCGGGGGGGGAGATGAAAAGGGGCCAATGGAAAGAGGGACTGTATTTCTAGTATCATTGGTACTCCACACAAGACAAAATTGCCTCCAGCTATGAACTCAAGCTCCACACATCACACAGACAACCTCTAACTCTACAAAGCCCCCACAATGCCCCAAGAAACATTATCCATCTTCTCCTCTAACTCCAACACAAATACAGAGGCAGCTCTTGACCAAATCAGCACCCTCACTACCAAATCACATCCCATAAAAGCTTCTCCCCAAAAGGGACCAAACTATAACTGTGAAAGTCATGAAGCTGCCACTGACTGCCCAGATAAGAGACCTGCCAGGCTACTCACTGAAATCAAGCCAGAAAAGCAATGTCTGATATGCTCAACCTGTTCTAGCACCAACTCAACCAGACTGGGTTTAAGTGAGAACAGTCCTTCCAACAAGGTTTCTTATTCCTAGAATGTATAATAATAAGTAAATAAATTCCTTATCATCTTGCTACTCTGTACTTCCCCAGCCCTGGGTTTCCCATCATTAATCAGCCAATTCCAATGAGCCTACTGGAATCCCCTGTTCCTTGTTAAATTTCTCAAATCCTCACCTTTTTTCCCCCCAAATTGTCTCCTTATCCCAAGGTAAACTGACTTTCCCAAAGGATATACTTTCCCTGCACTCTCTCCAATGAAGGTCACTAATGCCCCAGTACCAGAAAAGAGCAGGGGAAAAGTGCTGCCTCCCTTTATTTACAGCTCACACTCCTTTTCACTTTACCCTCCTCGCTGCTGCCATCTAGGGAATTCCCAATCACTCCTGGCCATTTGAAAACATCTTTGGCACCTGGCTCACAATCGATTGTCCCTTCAAATGCCACTCCTGCCATCATCCTGGGATTTCAATGTCCTAAATTCCAATGATCTCATCCACCAGTCCATTTCAGCTATCCACTTGATAGGACTACCCTCTGGATCCTAAAATCACCCAGGACTCTCTCCCCAGGCCTGTTGCACCATCATTTTCTATTTGCTGTTCTTACAGAGATCTCCACTTCCCTGTCACATTTTCTCCCAACCTGTCAGCCCACTCTGAATTCTCTTCCTTCCTATCTACACTACATTCTAGTACTGATCATACAAACTACGCTCTCACCATAATGCTCAATTCATCTGCAACCCAATAATTCTCCCATTATCTACCTGGCAAAACTCTCATCTAGAGCAGTACAATAAGTCTTCCCTGTTCCTCCACTACTAAAGAAAAAAGGAAAAAAATTAGAGAAGAAGAAAGGGGAAGTGGAGTGGAGAGGGAGAAGATGGGAGGGGGAAGAAGGCAAGAGAAGGGAGGAAGAGGAGGAAGAAAAGGCAGAGGGAAGAGAAAAGAAAATTACATCACCTGGAAGACAGGTAGGCTCTTTAATGGTCTAGCAATCATCTTCCTTTCCTCTTCCCCCCAAGACTACTCTAGACCTTCATAATTCTCTCAAGCTCATGCCACATTCTCAGGAACTCAACTATTTCAGCTGTGATTTCAGCAAAGCATCCACCTGACCCAACTGGGCCACCAGAATCTCAGAATCTCTTGCTTCTTAACCAAATGGCTGAAGGTTAACACAACTTAACTCAGATCCACTACCAATTAATACTATTATACTTCCCTATTCTATCCAAAGGTGAATAACATGATTTTGGAAACATAGGCACATTCATGTGTTTTATTCTTAGGTTTAAACAGGGCTCAGGAAATAAAATGTACAAAGAGATTTGTAGGAAATGTGAACATACAATGAAACCTTTTTAAGGCTCTTTACAGGATTATGTTCAAGACTGCTGTCTAACTATAAAGAACCCAGAATTCTACTAATTTAGAATTTGTTTGGTAAATCCTTTCCCCATTGGAAATAAAGATATACACAAACAAAATTTTAAGAGGAAATCATTTAAATTCAGAGAAAAGTTCTTAAAACTGTACTTGAGAAGCCTCTATTTCGATAAAACTATATACCAATAACTAAATATTCTTGTTGTATCACCAAATATTAAATAAAGGCCCAAAAGCAGAAAGTGTCAAACTTTTTAGGGAATATGAAGAAGCTAAAAAAGAGAAAGAAAGAGAGGTCCTTATCTGTAAGAGTCTTTCAGCTTTTGTAAGAAAGACTATGATGTTCATAAAAATAATAATAGCAGCAGCAGCTAACAGTTTATGATATGCCAGATACTATTCAAAGTGTTTTACTTGCCATAACTAATTTAAACCTCAAAACAACCTATGGGATAGCAATATTATTACCACCTTCTATCAATAAATAAATTGAGGTATAGGGAGGTTAGGTAACTTACTCTGTGTCATATAACTGGTTCAAGTAAAGCCAAATTTTGAATCCAAGGAATTTAGAAGGCAAGCTCTTTTTTTTTTTTTTTTAAAGGTTTTATTTATTTATTTGACAGAGAGAGACACAGTGAGAGCAGGATCACAAGCAGGGGGAGAGGGAGAGGGAGAAACAGGCTTCCCGCTGAGCAGGGAGCCCGATGCGGAGCTCAATCCCAGGACCCTGGAATCATGACCTGAGCCGAAGGCAGACGCTTAACGACTGAGCCACCCAGGCGCCCCTAGAAGGCAAGTTCTTAACATAACACAGAGCCCAAAGATTTCTAACTATTCATTAACTTAAGGCAGAGTTTTTCAAAAGTATGGTCCATGTTCTATGTGCTGGATCCCCCCAGACCTTTTCAAGAAGTCTGCATAGTCAAAACTATTTTCATAATAATACTATGACTTTATTTGCCTTCTCCACTACGTTAACATTTGCACTAAAGGTATAAAAGCAATAGTGGGAAAAAACTGCTAGTGTTTTAGGACAACAGACAGTGGCACCAAACTATACCAGCAGTCACTGTACTCTTCAGTGTCAGGCACTCACAGAAAAAAAGAAAGAAATATCAGAAATTAAAAAAAAAATAAGTAAGCTCTCAGCCCAATGTGGGTCTTAAACTCACGACCCCAAAGTCAAGAGTCACACGCTCTGCCAATTGAGCTAGCCAGGAGCCCCTAGAAATAAAATTTTTGGAAGACTGCTTCCCTTGAGAATGCCCCTAATGAAGCAGTAAAATTTATTACTTTTAATTAGTCACAACCCTTAGGAACACATCTTTTTAATATTCTGTGTGATGAAATGGGAAGGAGCTAGGCATTTCTGCCCACTGAAGTACGACAGTTGTTCCTTCAGAATAGCACTTGTGTGCCTCTTTGAGTTGCAAGCTGCATTAGGTAGTTTTTTCATGGAACATCATTTTTACTTGAAAGAACAATTGACAAACTATGGCTACTAGACTTAGTATTAGGCAGGCATTTTCTAAAAATGAATGAATGAACCTGTCATTTTAAGAGAATACAGGGGTCCTGAGATCAAAAGGTTTAAGCATAGCTCATTTAAAGAAATTCTGGACAAGCCTTCTTGGTCCCATTTGAGTTATGATCTATAACTAAAAGGGAATAAAACTGAAGTTCTTTTAAAGTGTCATTTTAATCATCTTACTATGTCTTCTCAATCTACAAAATAAGTGAAATATTATTACATACCACTTTCTAAAACTCACACAGGAAAGTCTGTAATCACTTCAAAGTATAAAGTGACTCACAAGATTCTTGTAGATTCTTAACTTACCTTCATTTCAATAACAGTTTGCAGAGCTTTTGTTTTGGCAGAATCAGGTGCATTCTCAAATCTCCGATGCATCTCCTATACAAGAGAAGCAAAAAAGAGAGTAAGTGTCCTCCTTTACACTCTTGTTTTTTCTTAAAGGGAGGGTAGGGAAGGACGGGGGAGAGGGAGTAATTGTGTAAAGATGATGATTACCCCAGCCTTACAAGACACTCTGATCCCTGTCCACCAGACCTTCCCCAGTGGATCAGAAAACCCACAGGCTGCATTCAGGCTAAGGAAATACAAGGGTCAAACATACAGGCATAAAGGGTCCCTGTCAGTGAACACCCAGTTATTTAAAATCAGTCACACAGATGAAATCAGTACAACAGATGGAAACTACAACGCAACCCCAGACTGGTGTGTCAATTTTCCACATAACTCTAAGACATATAAATCAGAACTCCAAACAGTCCAAAAGGGAGATCAGAAATATTCCCCTTTTAAAAGAAGAAATAAAAGCAGTCACAATCAGTCTGCACTGCACAGAGCTACTGAAAGCATTTGTGTTAACCACATCCTTTCTATAGCATCTACCCCGGAGTAACAACCTGGCTACCTGTGATGAAAATCTCTCTCTACTGGGGTGACAAGTAGAAAGAAAAAAGAAGATAAGGTTGTTCATGTCTACAAAATGTCATAAAAACATAACTATCCTTTTTCATCTAAATTTTAGTGAGTTCAGAATCAGGAAGAAAGGAAGCGATGGTAGTAATATCACAATTAAGGTCTTCAAGGGTCACAGTGAAGTTATCAGACCACCTCAGGCTATTTCCTGTCAGATTTTGTGAATGTCTCTGACTTAATCAGTCAACATTTCCAAAGTACCCTGACATAGCTTCTAGTGATCCCGGAGAATACACAGATGAATACTTTCCATCTGAACTATACTTAACCATAATAAAAGGAATGTATAATACTTTAATTATACCTTTCACCTAACTTATTCATTCTTGCCTGGCCAGGAAGAATGGTTTGAGAGAAAACAGAAAACAGAACTGCACACTTCACTGGGTTACCTCTTCCTCAAAGAGTAGTGCCACTAACTGACAAAAGTTCTAAATTATAAAGTCAACAGTTTAAAAACCAGTAACTGTTGAACATCCACATTTACCAGTTGGCTGCTGAAACTATAGTGCAAACCACTATTAATATATACCACCCTTTCTGCTACTTTTCTCCCTAACTCCAGCCTTAAATATTCAACAAGGTATCCCATCTGTACGTTTAACAAATACCTCAAACTCTTCAAGCCCAAGAGTAAACTCCTGGTGGTGCTCTAAAGCCTGCTCCATCCTTCCAGTCACTCAGGTGAAACACCTGAGTCTTAATGCCTTCCTTCTGCTTTCAAGCCACAATCAGGAAATCCAGTTAACTCTAACTTCAAAACATATCCAAAATGCAAGCACTCCTTGCCATCTCCACTGTTACCACTTGGAGTAAACCACAAACAAAAATATATCTTTTACGGGTGCCTGGGTGGTACAGTTGGTTAAGCATCCGACTCCTGATTTTGGCTCAGGTCGTGATCTCAGCGTCACGGGATCAAGCCTCGCATCAGGCTCCACACTCAGCAGAGTCTACTTGGGACTCTCTCTCCCTCTCTCCCTTGTCCCTCCCCCAGCATGTTCTCTTTCTCGCTCTCTCTCTCTTCCTCTCTCCCTCCCTCTCTTCCTCTCTCCCTCCCTCTCTCTCAAATAATAAATCTAAAAACAAACAAAATATATATATCTTTTAAATCCAACAAAAAGCTCCTAATTAGGCTCCCCAACCTTTATCTTGCTCCCCTACAGTCTATTCTCAAAAGAGCACTCAGAGTGACCTTTAAGCATGAATTTAATCTTGTCACTCCTCTGCCCAAAACTCTTGTCATAGTTCCCTATCTGACTCAAAGCAAAATCAGAGTCCCTTCAGTAGCCTACAAGACCTCATCTCTTACCACTCTTCCCTCAGTCTGGAATTACTGTATTTGGAATAATCTTCTCTAACATACCAGACCATAAACTCCTTCAGAGCAAAACTGTCCTTTGTATTCCTCAGACAGTGTGTGACATGTAAGCAATCATTAAAAATTATTTCTCCTCCATATCCATTCTTTTGTTGGATGAAGGAAAGACTGAAAAAATGAATAAATTATCAGCTAGTTTTCTTCTTCACCTCACTACTGGATGACTCTTTCTACAATATCAAATAAAGGACGATCTTGTTCCTAAATCTAATAGCTGTTGTCAGTCCACATCCTTTCTGAACTCCACATAATAGCTTTTTCTTTTTTTAAACCATAGAGAGAGTTAAGGAAGGAACGTCTTTAAAATTTTCAACTGCCTTCCATTAAAGAATTATCCTAACTCTAAAGGCTTATTCGCTGTCCTTTCCCTAGCCTAAGCACAGACAGACATTTTCTAAATTCCATCCTTGGAACTCTTCTCAGTTCTATAGCCCCACTCCAGGAACTCCACCAGCTCACAGAGAAACTTAATATGAATTAGAAAAAAAGCAACCCCTCTGGAGTAGATGCAACCTCACCATGAAACATTGGTTGAGTTTTAAGCCCCACTTGCTCCATCAGCAGGAAGCTCTTGTTTGGCTGAATAATGTGCACACCAATACAAGGTAGCCCTTCCCCAATCCCACAGATTCAACTACAGTTGACTCTTAAACAACACGGGTTTGAACTATACTGGTCCACTTATACATGTATTATTTTTTCTTTTTTTTAAAGATTTTATTATTTATATTCATTAAAGAGAGAGAGCATAAGCAGGGGGAGGGGCAGAGGGAGAGGGAGAAGCAGACTCCCTGCTGAGTGGGGAGCCCAACGTGGGCCTCCATCCCAAGACCCCAGGATCATGACCTGAGCCGAAGGCAGACGCTTAACTGACTGAGCCACCTAGACGTCCTTATATGTATTATTTTTTTTTTTTTTAAAGATTTTATTTACTTATTTGAGAGAGAGAGAATGAGAGAGAGCACATGAGAGGGGGGAGGGTTAGAGAGAGAAGCAGACTCCCTGCCGAGCAGGGAGCCCGATGCGACTCGATCCCGGGACTCCAGGATCATGACCTGAGCCGAAGGCAGTCGCTTAACCAACTGAGCCACCCAGGCACCCGTATTATTTTTTTTAAATAAATATAGTACAGTACTGTAAATGTGTTTTCTCTTATGATTTTTAATACCTTTTTCTTTTCTCTAGCTCACCTGAAGAATATAGTAACTAATACATATAACATACAAACTATGTGTAAATCAACCATTTATGTTATCAGTAAGGCTTGAAGTCAATAGTAGGTTATTAGTAGTTAAGTTTTGGGGGAGTCAGACATTCTATGCAGATTTTCGACTATAGAGGGGTCAGCTCCCGGGGCGCCTGGGTGGCTCAGTTGGTTAAGCAACTGCCTTTGGCTCAGGTCATGATCCTGGAGTCCCGGGATCGAGTCCCGCATCGGGCTCCCTGCTCAGCGGGGAGTCTGCTTCTCCCTCTCCCGCTCCCCCCTCTTGTGCTCTTTCTCTCTCTCACTCTCTCTCTCAAATAAATAAATAAAATCTTTAAAAAAAAAAAAAAAAAGAAGGGTCAGCTCCCAACCCCCTCATTGTTCAAAAGTCAACTGTCTTACCGTTCCATGGATAACCTGCAAAATCTATTTATCTAACCTTGTAGTGGACATCTATCACTCTTTCTTACCATGATATCTAATCTCCCTTTTATGTTTGGGGATTCCACATTTTAAGACAGTCTTCCTTCCACAATAAAAGCTAAAAATGCCACATACTTTTTTCCCCAGCCTTTCTTGCAGTTGAAGTCCAGACACAAGACCTCATCTCCACCAGAATCTTTTAACAGAAGACTTGGGGACGTGAACAGTGACAATTCCGGCAATGAGTGGCAGAGGCAGCAGCTACCTTGAGCTCCCACTCTCAGGAATGGCAGAGGTTCCAAAGGTAGTGAGCAGTGTCAGTGGTGTCAGCCAAACAGGCTGCTGTGTCTGTGCTCTGCACCAAGAGCAGCACTGTCTTCACCAAACCGATAAAGGAGCACGATGGACTGGAGACTGGTTTTGGCTGTATAACTTCTATACCCAGTCTCTCCAGCCCTCCTAGAGATTCTGCCTGGATTATAGCAACAGTCTCCCAAAGTTGATCTCTCCAGTAACACAATGGAAGACGTGCTTTAATTTAATTATTTTAGTTATTTCTTTCTCTACTTCTCCATTCAAACAATTCATCCACATCACCAGTGAATTCCAGGGTGCCAAATCTAGTGGACACCTTTCTGTCCTCATCTTCCTAGAACTCTCAGAGGCATTCAAAGCAGTGGGCCACTCCCTCCTATATACACATTTTCTCTTGACTATTATGACACCACACTCTCCTATTCTTCTTTCTCTCCAAGTGCTTCTTCTGTTTCTTTTGCAGGTTCTTCCTTCTAAATTAGACCCCTAAATACTTACAGTGACCAGGTGACAAGTCCTAAACCCTCTTCTCTTTTCCATCTAACTCTCTAATCCATAACATTGCTTAAACACTATCTGAAACACTAGTGAATTCTTAGGCCCTCTGCTCTGATTTTAGACTCATTTATCCAACTGCTCATTTGATATATCTATTTAGATGTCTAATAGGTAATTTATATTGTCCATAACAAAACTCTTGATTTTTCTCTTCCTTAATCTAGCCTCTCATCTGATGAGTGTGATGAGAGATGAGTGTTCTCCATCTTATTAAATGGCACCACCCTCCCAGTGGTTCAGCCAAACACCAGTGTCTCATTCTTCCCAGATCTTCATTTCCCACAACCAATTCAAATAGGAGGCAGGGATTGCTCCATCTTCAAAATATGTCTTGAATTATTCTACTTCACTCCATTTCCAGTTCAGCTGAACCCTAGATTACTACGACAGCTGTTAGTTTCCCTCCACTTCCTTTGTCCATTCTCAAGAGAGCACCAGGGTAATCTTCACAAAGGATCAACAAAGTATGACAGTTTAGTCTGCTTTGAATCCTTCAATGAGTTTCCCATTTGCTTCTCACTCTCTACA